TATTTTTATTGGACGGGGCCAGGCTAGTGCTGCTTTGCACCGTCTCTGTATCTACACTAGAGAAGTGATGAGGTGCCCGAGGCTCAGAGGAGCCATGCAACTTACCCAGGTTCCCATGTCAAGTACGTGGTGGGGCTGGATTCAAACTCAGAATCATTTGGAGAAGCCCCAGCGCTTCCACCCACTGCACCACTGTGTTTCCCATCTGGTATCACTGGGTTCTGGTACAGGAGAGAGGATAGTGTCCCCAACGTTGATTCTTAAAGGCAGAAACTGCTGGTTACTTGAAGAGTTTTTACTGAGTTTTCCTCAAAAATACATTGATAATTTGATCAGTTTTATAGTCTTATTTTCAAATTGGATGTTTCCCCAGGATAGGAAGGTAGACTTTAATCCACCGAAAAAGGACGTGAAACACAGTTTACTGAATGATTCTGGTATCTTTGATTCAAAACAAAGACATTTAACTCAAACTTTGGTATAAAGGTAGCCCCCAGACAGAGCTGGGTAAGAGCTGGTGGCAGGTCTTTCCTTGGTTGCTTCCCTGACTTTTCTGGAAGCTTAAGGCCTCTAGGCTGTGTGACCCAAGATGCCCCGTGGGTTGTTGTCCAGGTGATGGCGCGTGCTGTCACGTAGCAGATGCTTCCTTACCTCCTTGTGTGTGGATCTGGTTGCCGGGGCCGCGGCTGTTCCACAGGGAATCAGTACCCTCAGTTTTCTTTATGCCTGTGCTCCCTGACCGCTTTCCCACCTCTGCTATGATAAAGGTGGTAGGTCTGCCCATGCACGTATTCTGTGGAAGAGGGACATATTTTCCATTTGGAGAGTACCTGGCCTCCCCAGCTTTTGCGATTTCTCCCGAAAGACTGCTGCACACAGGGACATGCATCCTAACCGGCGCAGACACAACCTGGCTCCCTACTGTGGGCAGCCGAAGACTTCTCTTGCTTTGCTCACGGGGGCTTCCATTATTCTGCTCCAGGGTCAGGCTGGACACAGCTCTTCTCCTGAGATTCACAAAGACAAGGCAGCCACAGTCACCAAATGAGCCTGGATGTGATCATTTCAATCTCTTTCTCTATATAGAACTGCCACTAGTGGCCAGAAATGGTATGCAAGATACTTAATTGCCCACAGAGCTGCAGCACGAAGCTAACAAGCTGCTCATTAATGCACCCATTGCTCTCTCTCCCCTTCCTGTAGCTTCTGTTCCTAGTTTAGAAGCAGAATTAACAAAAATTTTTTTTCTAAGAGGCATATCGGTCCAGTAGCAGCCAGCTCTTTGAACATTTAACTTCATCTTCCAAATCATTACAGAAAATACTTAATGGCTCCATGCCCAGACCTGACCCCTGCACATCCCATTTGTGATGGCCAGCAGGGACAGATGGACCACCATCAGTAAGTGCTTTCTGCATTCGGCCTCCCAACATGGGAGTGCCTGGGCAGCTCTGGGCCATTAGACTTTTCCAAATTAAGTTCCTTCAGGGATGGATTTCACTAATGCAATGGAAGGACAGTGTGTGCCCCGGACAGTATATGCTAAGCTCAGAAGGACAAAATTCACGCTTACATGGGATAGTTATTGAGGACAAAATGAAGAGGCTCTACCAGTCGGCTTCTTTTCCTTCATAATCCTCATGTCTACTAGGTATCCGCTCAAATGACGCTCAAATCTGTTGCACGTTCTAATGCAATATGCCAGCGTGTTTTGTTTTCCAACTAAATCCACTTGCAGTCTCTAATTCTTGAATTCACGTACTCTGAGGAAGCTCTCTGTGTGTTCTTTGCTTTAGATCAGGGGTCTAAATTGCATGTCCCATCAGGGTCCAGATGGTTAATGCAAATAAATGCAGCTGCTGGTTGCAAGTATTAGGGAATTACAGAGATTGTAATAAATTGGAGCTTTCAGCCTCACCTAGATGATCACACATGTAGTTGTCAAAACATACACATACTGCACTGGCCAGAGAAGAACGTGTCAACTTAGATTCTACAGAAAAGCGACCTTGTGACCTTGCCTTTAAATCAATTCATTAAGTGTCCTTTGTAGAGTCTGAATCCGAGGTTCAAACATGGGGCGGGGAGGTGGAGTGGTGGTTACTTGGTTAAATTCCTCATGACTCAGATATCCTGTCTGCCCCTCTGGTTGAGGATACTCAGATTCAACATTAAACAGTTCACACACAAGATATACTGGCATAAAGGCATGCGCATTCCCACTTATGCTCATGAGGTGCTTCCCCAGGTAGCAAGTGTATTCGCTGCTAGTTGCAGACCCAGATCCTGTGAACAGAAATCCAGTGTGACCTGAAAAGGAATCAGACTTCTCTGGTTTTACAGCTGTCTGGAGACAAAGGCTGCCTACCTGCTGAATTTCAAGTACTTCCAGCCTCTCTCTGGTCTGTTTTAATCACACCACTTTGCCCCTAGATTTGGGGAGGGGCAAAGGGGTAGGAATGAAAGCACCTTCAGTTTTTACCAAGGCACTCAAGCCTGTCTGTCCCCGGCCTTGATTCCGGGTAGGAAAAAGCCAGACTGTCTTTATTAATTTTGCCTGAAATCTCTCAACAGAGTCCGAGGAATGATTTGATTCTTTTCAGTTTGCTTTTCAGTTAAGATATTTTCTTTTCTTTTTTTTTTTTTTTTTTTTGATGAGCATTTAGAGAGTAGTCCAGGTCTAAAGCTGGGAGTTTGGACTAGTTTAGTTAGGATTGGGGTAGTGAACAAGGCTTCAAATAGTTGTGAAAACTGATCATGATAAAAATATCCGGAGACTGAAGGGAGTCTGAGCCCAAGTTCAAATCTAGAGAAAAATACAACCACATACACACTTTCAGTGTCACTTGCTCCGAGTGCTCAACGGCCAGCTGATGGAGGTAGCAGGAAGTTGTTCCCCAATACTTCTCCCTTGTGTACAGAATAATGGAACTTTTGATTTCAGTTGAGCCCATAGACTCTAAAAAAAAGGAGAAATATTTTAAGCCTCCCTTGGAGCTTAGGTGTGGGAATGTGACTGAATTTTGAACAGCAAAATACAAGAGGAAGTAATATTACTTCCTACTATAGTTTCTTGGAAGTGTCCTTCAAGGAAGGAGGTATGTTTCTTGTCTCTCTTCTCCCCACTAGTTGGAATTTAAGTGGCAATGGTAAGAGCTGAAGCAGCCATCTTGGGCTGTGAAGTGATTCTAGGAATGAAGAGCAATGCATGATGGAGAAAAATATAGAAGGCATTTGTGTCCCTAACATCATGGTGGTCCTTACCATCCCTCTTCCCTCTGTCTGGACATTTACATAAAGAGAAGCAGGTTTCTGCTTTGTTTACCCCTGGTGGGGTAGGGGTGAGGGAGGCAATTTTTTAATCATTCTCAGCCAAGTCTTTTCCAAACTAACACTGAAGGTGTCGGGTAGATGTGCAGAAGCAGGACTCGGGTGTTCCTCGTGCTGTCCTCTGGAAGCAGACACGGTTCAAACATCATCACTATTTCACATGTGGGAAACTCCCTCTAGGGGTTAAGTTCTTCTTCCTTCCTCCTTCTAGTGGCTCTCCGGCCCCTTCCTTCCCTCGCAGGCCTCCAGCAGGTGCAGTCCTCTCCTTTTACCACTATCACACCTCAGGGTACTCACCTGTATCTGCCTTTTAATGGTAGACCGTGAGAAATGTTTGTGGACTGTGAGAACCTGGGGACGCAAAGTGTCTCTTGTAAACGCTCCTCCCACGTGTTGTGCAAAACAAAGCACTACTTAAGTTTCCGACACACCATGAACTCCATCACTGAATTAATTTGGAATGTAGTTTTGAACCCCACTCACTATACCATTTCCTATGTTTGTTTCACTCATCTTTAGACTTTCTGTTCTTTAGACTTTAGACTTTAAATATCTCCACAGGGGACTGAATCATAACACTCTCTAAAATAAGGACTCTTAACGTGAAAGGGGGCAAGAGGGAACTCTGGGGAGTCCATCAATTCTGCAAAGTTTTATGTGGAAAGATGAGCTTTTGCCTGGAGGAGAGGTCCAAAGTTTCCATCAGAATTTCAAAGAAAAATAATACGATATTCCTTCCCCCACTGGCCTACAGCAAAAAGAATCTTTGGCTGAAATGACACCGAAAATTGGTTGTTGGATGGGAGTAAGGCATAAGGCCTACTTGGATGATTCAGTTTATAAAGAAGGTAAATCTACATAGAGATCTATATGTTTTCTATATCTAAATTTTTTTTTAAGACTTAACTTTCTCTCCATGGTTTCAAGGAGTGACCTTAATCCTTAATCCCAACTGAAGAGGCAACCAAACTGAAAAGATCAAAACTACACTGCAAATAAACTGAAGCAATGCTTTATTGTGACCACAAAGCACCAATTCAACAAGGTGTCAACACACAGAGATTGAACACACGTCTCTTTGAACAGAGATGTAGCAAGCCCGCTTTTTCAAGTTCTTAAAAACAAGTCCTCAAATCAGAAATCAAACAAAGCATCGGAGCAATTAAAAAAATATTACACCGTCAGGAAGGAATATATATAAAAATATTCTGTACTTGTAACAAGGCTCTCCGATCTTAACTCTGGGCAAATTTCTTCAGAAACAAACGATTATAAATATAAACCATAATGTGGGAAAACAAATGCTTTCTTCAGAAACAAAGAACCAATTTAAAAGCAGATCTATGCAGAAAATACCACCCGCCCCCCGTGAAAGCCAGCTGAACACGGATGGACAGCCCCAGCACACAGCAGTTTCTCCTTCCAGAGCTCCAGTTCTGCTCCTGAGGGGGCCAGGATGCACGCCCATTTCAAACATCGCAGCATATCCCAGTGAAACCTTAATAAGGTCAAGTGGAGGACCCTCTGTAAAAAAGGGTGTCGGCAATTCCATCCAAGTAACACAAGCTCTAAGCAGCAGAGAAATTCAAGGGAGGCACAGTCCCTTTCTCTTTTCTCCCCCTCCCCACATTTTCTGGTTTTTTATTTTCCCACAATCTGTAACCAAAAGATGCTCATTCTATTCAGTTCTTTTTTTTTTTTTTCAGGAATTTGGGAAAGTAACCTATGAAGAAAATTCCCTTTGTGGGGAGGGGTGTCTGATCTTGTCAAAGATCATTTTGTTTGACAAATGCCACAAGGTAGACCATCCTGTCCACAGGTTCTTGCTCCTCCTGGCTGAGTTCAGGCCAGCCGATGGATTGCCTAGTCTATCCAATAGGATAACGTTTCATTTGATTGAAATTCTTTACATATACACATGTATGTATTCTGTTAACAAAGTTTCATCACATGAAACTAAATTACGTCATTATGTATTTTTTGAGGTCCGAGACCCCAAGCTGACGATACTATGAAGAGCTGTTCTTTAAATGCTTCGTCTGCAGAGGCTTCACATGATACTCGTAAATTTTCAGAGCAGGCCCCAATTTTAACTGAAGTCCTGTCAACACATCGTTTCTTGTCATCAATAGCAGGGATTTTCCATCAATTTCCTACAAATGGAAGCAGAGAATAAAGCCAACATGTAAGTCCAAGAGCTCAAGGATAATGGAAAAAAAAAAAAGGGAAGATCAAAGGAAAAAGTCACATTGATTGTCCCCACACTAAAAATGTTACTTTTTTTTTTTAACTAGTGCCAAAATGGAAAAAAAATGAAATCTTCCATTTTTATTTTCCATCTTCTACTTTCATTTTTGGGTTAAATACAATCCATTGCTGATCTTGCTTTTAAGATCACATCACAAATGTCACATCTTAAAAACTGACCGCAAGCTTACGTACCACTAAGATGTTGCTTCTTGAAGGAATAATGACATTTATAAAATACAGTTTATGTAGAACTTTTGTCTATTTAATCCCCAAAATAGGTCTATACATAAAGACAGGTGGAGATTATCATCTTAATTTTACAGGCAAACCGAGGACCAAGGCAAGAAGTTAGCCGGCGCAAGGAGTTCAGAGAGGGGGTGCCCAGAATTTGAGCTCCCATCTGCCTGCAGCCAAAGCTGATGTTCTTTTCATAACTCCCTTCTGTTTCTCTTGACACTTGTAAGTAAATATGTGTTGTCTAGATGGTCCAGTGGGGACTGGAGTCTTGGGTTTTCTGGAACCTTTTCAATCAGTGATGGGCATTGGAAAAATTCACTCTGTGAATGTCTTTCCTGCCCTTTAAAAGGAGACCCATCCCGCCTCAACATGAAAATCACCCTCTCGTGTTACCACTTCCTCTCAATGGATCCTCAAGACTCCAAATAAGGGAACAGGGGCGGGGCTCCACCCTCTGCAGATTCCCTCCACTATTCTCAGAGTCCCCTCCCCACTCCTTTCAAGTACCAGCCAGCTACCTGTCACTCCAGGTAACCTGGAGACAACAAAGCTTTGGGTGAGATAAAAATGGGCTTCTCCTGAAAGAGATGAGCACTCTGAATGTAGAAAGTAGTTTGAAACCTTGGAAAGGAGTGCTGAGAAGAATGCTGAATGCCTCCTTATTTCTGTTAGTTTATTATGGGGAGAAGCTGAGCTGGTTCTTAGGAGAGCTGGGTTCAGGAGATGGACCGTGCTCAGGAGGCCTCGCCATCCCTGTCCACGATTTCCCCCAAATATGTCGGTACCCGCCTCCCTCACTGATGGACAGACGGGGAGACACTGTGTGCAAGTCCAGCTACAAAAAGCTCTGACCCCCTCCTCCACCGTCCCCACGCGGGCCGCTCACGAATTCTGCCAGGCTGGGAGGAAAAGGTGCTCTGAAGGTCTGAGTGTGTGGGGGAGGCAGCACTGGGCGAGGGGCTGAGGAAATACCCAGTTTGTGACCTTAGGCAAGTCCCTTCCTCCTTCTCCTGGGTGGACAACAAGGGATATTGGGTTCTGCCAGGATTTCATGAGCCACCCCTCTTGCGGGTGCTCCCTGAGCTGTGACTTACACGTCACCTGTCATGGCAGGTGGTCGACAGACCACGGCCTTTTTACTTGTCAACCACCTACCATGAACAAAGGTAGACAGACAAGGAATTACTTCTAACTGGTCTACGGTGTTTTTAAGTGTTGGAAACCTTGATTTTGTCGACTACTAGAAAACAAAACGTCTCACGTTAACTTGTGAAAGACAACTATTCAAAACCACGGCGCCTGAGAGAGCAGTTGGTTGACTAGACAAGAGCAGGCCGTTACTTAAGGACATAAGCATTGGCCGTCTAGTCCTAAAGTATTTTTTTTCCCATTCAGGCAGCTAGTGAGCCCAAAGATTGCCCGTCGGTAAAACCTGCAAGTGCGGGAGTTGGCCGAGGAGCTCCGACCCCTGGGAACCAGAGCACCAGTCCGAAGGCACTGTGAGGTCACAGGAGTCTGAGTAACAGGTGCCCTGGGACAGCACGCTCTCTCTCACGCACCGAGACGAGCAGCAGTAACTCACGCAGGATGCTTCCCACACCAGCACCGCCCCTCCTGCCCTCCATCTCTCCTCTGCTCCTGTGGCTCACACTTGACTCAGTACAGATTTGAAACAGGCACAAGGAAGAGATGACACTGCTTGGTTTCTATACAAGAACCCTTCCTTGGCTGACTGAAAGTGAATTTTTAATCTTTGCTGGTAAAAAGTCCTTTTACAACTCAGCATTTCTGTCAAAAGCCAAGTGCGTCTGTGAAAAATGCTGAAATTTGGATTTTACTGAAGACTAAATGGAAACTCATGTTTCGTGCTCCGATTTGATTTTCCTTTGTTTGGTAGCCACACAGCAGTTCACCTCAGACTAGGGCTGGTGAAAGAAAGCTCCAGCTGGAAATCTGCACTGAAAAAAATGTGAAATGAATATAATTCAGACGGACAACAAAGCTTTCCTCTTAAGCCAGGGCGACAGCAGCTCAGATGAAGGGGAGTAGAATATGGCCTGATGGAAACGGGAGATTCCGGGTCAGGACACCTGAGTCCGAACCCTGCCTCCACGACTTACTGTGTGGCCCTGGGTGAGGGGCTTGACTTCCCTGAGCCTCAATTTCCACGCCTGTAAAATGGAAATAAAGCCCTGAAGGGTTTTGGAGGTTAGAAGTACCTGACATCTAAGTGGTTCTCAATGACCACTGAGTGGAAACGTATAGGCTTTGAGAGAAATGAGATGTGTTCCAATTCCAAACCTACTTCCTGCTTCCTTTCTGGAAGGGTGATCCCTGCCTGAATGCTACCTTCTGCAAGGGGGAGGCAGGCATACTCCTGTTCAAGTTCAAAAGCTTTACTGAGATTTTAAAAAGTTCAAAGATGACATAAAAATGTGTCTCATAAAAGTCGCAAACACAGAAAAGTTCCTTGATTAAGAAAGCAAATCATTTGTTACATAACTTCTATAAAAGATTGCAATGCAGATGAAATCCACATTTTGCCAGTCAGCATGGTACACTAGAATGAGCCTGAGACTGGAAATTGCAAGGCAGAGGTCCTGGTGCAGACTCCATCAGTAACTTTCCACAAGGAAGCACACTCCTCTGACCCTAGTCTGTTTAGTAGTTGGAGTGTGACCAGATCCAGCTAAACAAAAATTCCATGATTTTGCATTAACAATCCAAAATCTGAAACAAAAATATAATTCACATCTTGACATTCTGTTTACATTTCTCTGCTAATTGTTAGTGTCAGTGCAACTTTTTACATTGCTTCTGTCTTCTGTCTTCATGTGAGAATATCCAAGTGCCAGCTAAGCAACAATGCTCAGAATGCGTGCTTACTTAAGTTCCAGCAAGTACTCAGGCGTGGAAGTAAGGTTTAGAGATGACAGGTGTAAATTTCCAATGAGGGCGAGACACTAGATGCAAAACTAAAGGAGCAGGATCCACAGATGTGATAACTCAGTAGGTAAGCATGTGGTTTAGAGTAAGACACCATTTCATTGGCTACTAGGTGGGGTGCGGGGCAAGTTAACCTCTCTGCCCCACTGCCTTATCTATGTGATGGGGGAAGGGGAGCTACTGTATTTCGCCACTGAAAAGATTATTGAGATAATACACGTGAAGTAGAATTCCCGACTTCTACGGAGCACTCAATAAATGCTATTTTTTTAAAGTATATTAAAAAAATCTTAACCCATTTACTTTTCCCTCTTTTTCTCTGACAGCATACACGCAGGCAGCTCTTTCAGTTACGCCTCATTGTGATCTGGTCCATTGGAAATGTACGGGGAGGAGGAAGAGGAGGTGGGAAGAGAAGCAGCAAAGAGGAAGGCGAGTGCCAGCAAGAAGGAGGCGACAGATGATGATAGCAAGGTGGGCGGGGAACAAGTCAGAGAGGCATCAGTGGGAGGTAGGTGGGCAGGGCCCTGCACATCTCAGAAGGCCCTGTTTGTGGCAGTAGTCTCCACTCTCCCAAATACAGTGCAGGGGGGAAAAAGGGCTCAAGTTAGAATCAGAAGACTTAGGCTGGAAGCCAAACTCTACTGCTTCTGAGTTCCTTGTGTAGCACGTGGCCCAGAGTTCCCTCCCTCTGTGCAGTGAGAGGTGGGACTGAGCTGACCCCGGTCCATTTGGGTCCAGCACACTCTCAGATTCCAGTTCTGTCTTTGATAAGCACCAGACTCACCAGCCGCACGTCAGAGTCTCCCCGTGAAAGAACATGGCAGCAGCTCCCTACCAGTGGTGTGGGGGAAACTGATGAAATAGGGGTGCTTTTTCCACGTTAGTCTCCCCCCTCACATTTTCTAGAACTTTCTTTATAACAACTCGCTTGCTATTCACTATCTGGCTGCAAGTGGTGACCAGTCTGAAGTTTCTCATTCCACTGCTTACGAAGGGTACAAATGTCCCAGAGGAAGGGGAATTAGGCCTGGAGCCCAGGGACACAAAAGTGGAAAATCCTGTGTCCAGAATGGGGGTCACATCAAAGAAGGAGAAGCGGGATCTCCTGGCCCTGCCCGCATGGCCAGGGGAGAGCCAGTCTCCAGAGAAGGGGTCCGCATCTTCAGAGACGTTTTGGAAGCCGCAGTGTGGCCTCTCAAACCGCAGTGCCTCCGTCCAGCCGTCCTTGTCCCTGCCGTCTCCTCCGTTTCCCCGTCTGGACTTGTCGTAGTTGTTCCGTGTCTCGGCATCAGACAGGACCGCGTAGGCCTCGGCTACTTGTCTGAACTTCTCCTCAGCTGCCTCCTGGTTCTCTGGGTTCTTGTCTGGGTGCACCTGCAGAGCTAACTGGTAGTAGGCCTTCTTAATGTCAGAGGAAGAAGCGTTCTGAGGCACCCCCAGTACTTCGTAGTAATTCACCATGTCTCGTTAAAGGGCCCCTCCTCACCAAGACACAGAGTTTATTTTCTGAAGAACTTCCATGTAACTTCGGAAAGGAAGATGGTGAACTACCCAAGTCTCCACCAAGAGCTTTTGACTCTTTCATCACATGGTCCTTCCTGGGGGGAGGAATTCCTCTGTGGGGCTGGCATCCTCTGCGCTGCCTACGGTGCCCCAGCCCCTCCCTGCCCTCTGCACAGTGGAGGGACTGTGAGCTCAGCCTTGTCAGCCAGTGACCATCAGCTGCCGCTGTGTGTGTCTTGCACTCCTATTGGCGGGAAATTCGGGGTGGATAATACACATGTTGGGGGACTTCACATAATTTAAAAACCAACACTGAGCAGCGTATTAACGGAATCTATTTGCGTGGCTCAAAAAGAAGTCTTTACCTCATTTGCTGAACATGGGTCTTGCATTCTAAATCAGACACAAAATCCATGCGGGCTCATTATGAGGGCTACTGCCTTCGGTGACTTAATGGCTGCCTCCCCAGGTCAGTTAACTGCTGCTGGTGCAAAGTGGGTGACAAAGGGGCTCTATTACCCAAAGAACCTTGTACACATTTCTGATGAAGGAAAAAATGAAACTCACGTCATCAGATGAGGAAACTAGGTTACAGAGATTTCTGCCTTGATTGAAAAACAGGTTTAAGGAACAGAGTTAGAAGTGAGGCTTCTCGTGTGTGGTCAGACGAGCCCTCTTCACTTCAGCTGATCTTTTAAAGTTGGCCTTTTTGAAATTTATCTCTGGACTTAAGAACAGAACTAAGTAGCAGCATCACTCCAGCCAAAGCTTTAAAGAATGGCTTCAAAGCTCTTTTTCCAGGACGCAAAACGACACATTTCCCAGACTGCCTTGCAGTTTGCTGGGGCCGCGTGACCACATTCCGGCCAATGACCCGTGAAGGGATGACGTGTCCCTCTTTCAGGCCTGGCCCCTAACACCATCCACGTGTGTTCCTCTGTGATCTTCATCCGCACACCAACCGGATGTCAGTGCCCGGGTATCTTGAAAGCTTCTGGTTGAAGATGACAGAGCCTCCGTCAGCCTGGGTCCTGGAAGCAGAACACCCCTGCCAGCCACCCTGGACTATTCCTACGCATAGGAAATAAACTTCCACTGTAGCTTATTATATATGTCTTCATCTACTTGTAACAGCAAGTAGGTGGTTTATTCTAATCCATCAACCACTTCTGTGACTTCAGCGTCACATTTAGAACCTACTCCTGTAACGCCATCAGCAGGTCCAGAAGGGCCCACCTCTGCAGCGCCGGAAGGCCGACATCCTAGTCTACCTCTCATTCCTCCCTCCCACTATACCCGCTTTTTCACTTCAAGTCCTCTTTCCCCAGGGTAATGAGTCCCCTGCAGACTCCTCTTTTGTACCAAGTCTGCGCCCCCGTTGGCCCTGGGAACCATTCTTTCATATACCCTCTGGAATCACCCTCTTAGGCTATTAGCCCTCCACTGTGCCTGTGCCACAAACATGCCACCCAGGAGCCACCCAGCAATCCAGCTTCTGACTCCTGTATCTGGTGCAGTGGGGAATAGCGATCAAGGAACCCTGGAGCAGAACACTGCACCTGTGTTCTGGGCCAGTAGAACACCTCAACAGTCCTTTTACTTGCCCTTGGTCAGCTCCCTCTCCCGTTCCCCTTGGTGGCCATTTTTACCCTTCACTGGTCTCCTATGGTTCCTTATTAAACCTCTGCCCATCCTGTCTAGTCCAAGCAGAGAGCTTGCCTCTCATTTAGCAAAGGACACAGATACTGTCAGGAACTCCATTAACATCCCCCAGGACAGGGGTGATCCCAGCCGTATCTGTGCACATCCTCACCTCTGCTCCCAGCACACAGAGCACAGGAAGGACAGAGGAAGATACCCCTGCCTTGCTCAGAATTCATCCTTTCATATACTTCTTTTAAAAAAAAATTAAAAAGTTGAATCTTCATGTATATTACCTAGCATTATGTTTTACTGCAGAAATATATATATATACATGAAATAGGCCATTTTAACTATTTAAGTGTACAATTCAGTGGCATTAATTATACTCACAGTGTTGTGCAATTACTGCCACTATTTTTTAAACTCTTCCATCACCAAACAGAAACCCCATTAAGCAATAACTTGCCCCTCCTTGCTAGCCCTGGATAACCTCTAACCTGCTTTGTGTCTCTATGAATTTGCCTGTTCTAGATAACTCATACAAAATGGAATCATACAATACTTGGCTTATTTCATAGAGCATGATGTTTTTCAAGGTTCATCCATCATGTAGCTTGTATCAGAACCTCATTCCTTCTTACAGCTGAATAACATTCCATTGTACGTTCTAAACCACATTTTGTTTATCCATTCATCTGTTCATGGGCACTTGGGTTGTCTCCAGCTTTTGCTTATTATAAATTATGCTGCAATGACCATTTGTGTACAGTATCTGTTTGAGTCCCTCTTTTCAATTCTTTCATGTGGAATTGCTGGGTCATACAGTAATTTTATGCTTTATTTTTTGAAGAACTGCCAAACTGTTCTCTACAAAGGCTGCACCATTTCATAGTCCCACCAGCAATGCATGAGGGTTCAAATTTCTCTGTATCCTTGGCCTCCACACTCTTTTGATCTCGTCCCTTTCCTTATCCTCAGGGAGTTTACTTCACTGAACTGTCCTCAATTTCATTCAGTTTTAAACTGTCCAATTCTTTTGGCTACTTTCCTGCATGTAAATAAGTTTGAGTGCCTCCTCTCTTAGAAAGGAGCCCTCGTGCCTCCGTGAGCCTCTCTCCACTTGTCTGCCTCCCAGTCACTCCTCAGCTTGGAGGAAAGGGTCCCCCACCTCCCGAACGGTCACCCACACTCTTCCCCACCAGCCCAGTGAAGCTCCACTGTCACCTGCAGGCCCTGCTGGGGTGTTTGACCTTGTGGACTGTTTCATTTCTCTTGAGACTTTCCATCTCATTGGTTTCTAGACAGCCTCTCACACCGGTTCTCCCCCCAGCTCCCTGAGTGTTCTTCTCAGCTGCTTTTGCCAGGTGCCTGCCTTCTCCAAACAACTGAAACCTTGGTGTTCCCTGGGGTGCCGTCCTTGGCCGCCTTCTTTCCCTTTTTAAGTGCCTCTCTCATTCTCACCCCTCCCTGGCTGCTCGTCACTCTCCTCCTGTCTCTGTCTCTGGGCCTCACGCCTCCCCGGGGCTAGAGATATCCACTTAGACGTCCTACTGGCCCTCAAGTTTAACGTGCCCCAAACTGTGCTCATTATGTTTCTTTTAAAACTCACCGCTCACAAACATCCTGGTTAATGGCACCACTTTGCAACTAACCCATCAGGAAACCTGGCAGTCGTCACCTCTGCCTCCTCCCTCTCCCACCCTGAGTCGTGAGCTCCGTCTTGGGGCTCAGGCAGGGAACTGAGACAGGACACATCTTCACCTTCCAATGCCAACGATCCACTACATTCTTTTGACCATCATCCCCAGACTTTCTATCTCTTCCTCTCCATCCCCAGCGGAATGGTTACATCAGCTTTCCTGCCTGCCGTCTCCTTGTCTTCCAAGCCACGCTCTACAATGCCACCAGACGGATCTCTCAAAAACACAAATCTCATCATAGTGCTCCCCACTCAGTATCCTTCAGTGCTTTCCTCGTGCCTCTCAGGCACACAGACTGTTAACGCCACAGTGCTCGAAGTTCTCAAGATAAATCATGCTTTCTCATGTTCCCATGCCTTTGTATCTGATCTCCCTTCTGCCCAGAATCTTCTGTGCTTCCTTCAAATGGTTCTCACACCTACAATGGTTTCCGGTGGCTTGATTAAAGTAAAATAATACTTGTAATAATGAGCATTATTTTACTTTAATAGTCTTCTATTTATTTTAGTAAGTGTTAGAAAAAGCTGTGACAACTAAGGAAACAAGTGAATTAGCCAAAGAAGCACCAAGGACCTGGCTATCTTATAATGGCTTATAACCTCTCATTTCAAATGAATGATTTAAACAACCATTTGGGATATCTGGTTTATAGGAATCTATCTCAATCAAAAAATTCAAAAGGTTCTTTCCTGATAAATTTTGCTTTCAGTTCTTTTGACTATTTTCTTATTGTCAGCATTACCCATTTGCTTTTTAACTCTGCTAAATTTTTGTGGGCTCAATGTGTGAACGAAAAATATTGCCTGCCATATCAGCACACAAAGGATGCTGCAGTCATCTAGATATCACACTGCAGCCGCCCCCACGGTGAGCCCTGAGGAGACTCAGGATGGAAAAGAAGAGGACACTGGTCCTAGACAGCTAAGGTCATGTCCAGAGAATGATTTCAGTGACCCCAGACTCTTGCATCTTCCCACATGTAGAAAAGCACTAAATTCCTCAATCTGAGATGTCTGGTTTCTTTAAGTAATAGTAATCTTTTGATGTTCCCACGACCCGGTCTTTGTTGCAAGAACTCCTATATGACTGCTTCCTCCTCTACCTCTTTGGAGCAATCTCTCAAAGTGATCTGAGAGGCCCCCTCCTGGCCTTGAAGTCCTCAAAAGTCCGCTGAATAAAACAGAACTCTCAAGTTTTAGGTTGTACAACTTGTTTTCAGTTGACAAAAGGAAGGACACAGCCGAGTGTGAGTTGCCACGTCCCCTGCTCATTTTGCTACATTTTAACATTTTAAGCATTTCAGAAGCCTTCAATTATTAAGAAATATCAGGTGTCAGAGCACCTTGAATATTTCCAGTACTTGGTATTATAATACGCTGATAAAGTAATAAAAGTTACTTCTAATTTGTGGGATTTTTTAACTGGTCTAATTCAGAGCTGGCTTTATCGTGAAGCTAATGAAACTGAAATTTTGCCTTAGCAATTTTAGATTCATAGTTCTGTATTTTTGTTCCCAAGGAGGGCTCTTAGGATTGCAGAATCTTTAGCTCCACCCCCCACAAACCTGGATTTGCCCCGGGTCTAATTAGAAGTATCCATCTGGAATCACTACGGTCGAAGTCCACCCAGCCGTGACTTAGGACACATGCTCGGGGCTGCTCGGACTGGCCTCCCCACTTTCCTACTCCATCTGAGGAGGTGTTGCTTGGCCATCTACAGCAGTAAAATATTTTATTATGTTTACTATGTCAGTGGCCTCAGAAAAGTTAGCAATAAGCCGTTTGAGCAGAAATGCAGTCTTGGCATTTCAAGTGAACAGCTTAAACAACCAGTTGGACATTTCAGAGTAAAATGCTATCCTTATTCACGCGGTTTGGGGAAAACGAGAAGATAATGGAGCAAAATTAATTTGTCACCGTGAGTTGCAGATTACTTTGTCATGATACTCTAAGAAACAAATCGTCTCAGTGATGCATATTGTTCTAGAAAGAGAATCCCTGCTGTCGCTCACTTGTAAGTTGGAAGAGTCTGAACAGCATGAATGATGTGACATTGATTGAACGGTAGCTCTCCATGTCCATCTTCTTCGTACACGTTCTGAGTGTGTGTGCACCAGATAAAGACAGAAATGAAGTGACAATGGAACCACGGGCACACTGTCTTTGTGACCTGCATTGGGGTCCAGTCTGAGTGGTAAAGCTGCTCTGATGGACTTAACTCTCAAATAAAGCACTGTCAGTAGAGATGGCTTTACAGTTAGCCTTCAGAGTTTAACAGAATAAACCATATCCTAAACGTTCTGTGTGAGGAAAGTGGAGACACTTCTGAATGAGGTTCGTCAAAAGGGTCTTAAAAGCTCAAGCTCTTAGGACAGTAAAATTCC